AAATTCCTGACAGATATAATAATGAGATGAGCAGAAACCGTAAGTTGCGTTACGGGGAACCATTTGAATTATCTTGAAATGACCTGCAGTTTTCTTCTGAGATTGGAATATTCGTATGAGATATATCTGTTTGCTTCTGGTTTTTCCATATTGTGTATCACAAAATTGTGTTTGTTGAAATTGAAATGCCGATAGTGTTGTTTACTTGTTTATTCACAATTTACCAGTGATACATTTTGCCACTGTCTCGTGTTATTCGTATATATTTATTCCAAAAAAAAAACTGCATTATGTGAAGGTAGTTTGTATCAATACAATTTGTTACATGTATTGAATCAGATGTGCTACCAACAAAAAGAGTGATGAATAGCTATTCCACAAATAAGAATGTATTTTCCTAACTCTGTCACGTGCACAGATTTATCTGTTTTCTTTCAATTTTTCAATGTACTATACTTGATTTAATAATATTCGCACTGGTCGATTCGACTATAACTTTGTTATTTGAATATTTTTGTTATCTGATCAAGTTTACAAAATCAATAGCAAAAATTAGCGATTATTCTTTGATTTAAATAAACGCTATAATAAAAATTACTTTTTTTACTTGTAACAAAATTTTGTGTAAAGAATTACAGTTATCACATAGATAGTCTAATTTGATTTAATAATAAGGAAAAAACAATTGATTATAAAAATTAATAAATATTAAAACATACATTACAAATAATTCTTTAACGCTCGTATAACTTTTAAACAAATTAATAAGTAGTACCCAACAATTAAACAAGCTATAATTAGATGTGTGTGTGTGTGTGTGTGTGTGTGTATGTGTGTGTGATAAAGCAAAATTTATTATTTCACAATATAATTTTACCACCGATACGTTTCGACTATATTTAGTCCTTAGTAGAAATATAATTACCCCATATAACAAAAACATATTTTAAGGTTCATCTCAACTTCGATTTTTAATAATCAGTACGAACGCAATCATATTATATTTAGTCAACTTGTTGTTCGTCGGTTAACAGCGAGAAAGGGCAGTCAATGTGAAAAAGAAAGTTACTCACATTGACTGCTCTTTCTCGCTGTTAACTGACGAATTGGTTGAATTATGACTCATTATTACTATGTTTTATCGTTCGACAAATTGACTAAATATAATATGGTTGCGTTTATACTGACTATTGAAAATTGAAGTTGAGATGAGCCTTAAAATATGTTAATTTAATTTTTGTTATATGGGGTAATTATATTTCTACGACTGATGAGGACTTATTTTTCTTAGATATTGTAAATAGTTTAATAATAACTAACAATTTTTATATTACCTGAAGTATCGATTTTAATTATTGATTTGTTGAGACTAAATTTAGACAGATAAATCTCTGAATAAATAGAAATTTAAGAAATACTGGGTTAGTATGATATAAATAAAAGTTTAGCGAACTTCAAAATTGAAGGTGTAACTTTATTAAAAATAAATGAAGCTGTAGTCATTTTATTTATTGTCTCGTCCTTTTTTATACTACAAAGATACACAAAATAAAGAATTAAAATATACATTATTTGTTTATTTTGCTATTTTTATATTATTACAACAAGAGTTAATAGAACATTTGCATAGAGCGAACGAGTTGACTACGTTTTATCACCTCCGCTGACTTTGCAACACATATCTCGTGGTTTGCATGGATTTGCGGTTTCATTCTTGTTCGCGACTGTTCTTGGTAATGTCGTAAAACTGTTGTGCAGACAGTATGTATATAGTGCTTTGTTTTAACATTTATAAAGGTGATTTGCAGTAGTGAAAAGAATCAAAATTAAATATTTTTCAAGAATAGATTGAATCTAAAAGAATCTAGAAAACTTATATATTTTTTTAAGTATGTGCATCATTCGTGAAAAAATTTAATAAAAAAATGACATATTATTTTTTAAGATAGGAGTGTATTGTATTCTGTATTATAAATAAAAAATTATTAATTAAAAATAATATTTAATTTTTCTGTGGAAAAGAATATTCATATGGACATTATTATATATAAAATTTGAGATTAATTTAATGTGGAACATGTTTCATATTTTTACAAATTGTGTAATATAATTGATGAAATTTATTTCAGAAAGTTTGTAATATTTATCAAACAGTTGCGCACTTATTTTTGCGTTAATATGAAACCTCGATAACAGGTCTTTCTCTTTGATGTTTGACTCAGCAGTTGTAAAGGAAGCAAATATATATCGCAACGTAGATATATGTATATGTCTAGTTAAAATTTTTAAAATATGAATTTTTAGTATCTTTTATTTAAAGAGAATACTGAAATACAATTTTTGTTAAGAAGAAAAATGCATACTCTTTGAATATAAGCATGCCTAAGAGAATATTTTCTCATCATAATGAACCATCTTTTTTTTAAAAATTATTAATGCAGACATCAAATAGTTTCAGCTAAATTACAATATTTATTTATTTGGTTAAATTACTTAAATTAAAGAAATCTTATTTAATCGAAATTTGTAGTTAAAGAAAAGATACTTTTATTTCTTGAAATATTACGCTATCTAATTAAAGAAAAAAGCTTATAAAAACTTTTTATTATTAGAAGTAATATATTGAAAAATAAATAAAATATTTTATATAATAAATTCGCAATGTTTATTTATGTATTGAGGCATGGTATATGTATGCCCTGTATTATAGGCAACCATTCATTCCTATGATGCGATGTAAATAGGTTTGATTGTACTAAGGCGTTGTGCAGTGACTCAAACAAGAGATTGACGAACTTCATATTTTGCTTTGTTGTCACTACTTGCTGCAACTCTAACAAAGAGCTTTGTTTTGTATTTTGAAATATGTTTATTCATGTAATTAAATTATATTTGCTGTGAAAATATAAACGTCAAATTTAAGAGACGTAATCTTATTGGAAAAATAAATAGGTATATACTTATTTTTATTATATTATATGCATTCTATGTTTAACTCTAAATATACGAGTCATCTTGTATAACAAAAATAGAAGAAATTAAAATTGCTGCAATAATAAGATTGTTTTTGATAAATAATTGTATGGACTAATATAAAATTATGAAACAAAAATTTTTTTATTTTCTTAATAAAACATAATTTTTGTAATGTATAGCATGAATGCAATTACAACCTTTTGTGCTGCAGTCTCTTGATTTTCAAGATCGTTAAATTTTACCACTAAAATTTTATTTTATTGTAACTTTTTAATAAATCTTCTATGAATTTATGTTTACATAATATTTTTTTATTTTTGTTTATTTATATAACATCAAATATATATACATATATATATATATATATATATATATATACACCTGAAATATTCTATATAATAAATGGTGAAATCTGTTAAAATAATGAAAAATTTCTTGTGTCATCTCTTTTTCTTTCTTCCACAATGACTATAAGCAATCACTAGTCATTAATTATGTGACATCGTATACACTTGATTTCAAGATCATTTTTTACTTTAATATTACAATATTTCACGCTTTTCTCTAGTTTATTTTCTATGATGCATAGTTACATTACTCTTTTTATTTTTTGTATTTTTGTTCCTGTCGTATGTAACATGTCATAATTAATAGTTACTGATGAGTAATCGTGTTTCGCAATCACTGAGAGTAGTGGTGTTTGATTCACTTGCTCCAGCACGCAATCGCCACGTTTGTGATATCTACTTTTTATACATGCAAAATTATTTAATATTGTCTTGCGAGGAAAGAAAATTTAATGTAAAATATAAATTTTGTCGAAACGCGATATATTTCTAATTGACATTGACACGGTCAAAACAACACGGTAAAACAACAATGTTTTCTTTTATAAATTCTAATTATTGTGTAGCTTCTTTTAACAAAAACAGTATGAACGTTGTGATTCAATGGTGACATTGATCGGTTCTTCGTCACTTCTTATAATGGCGATTTTATATGTTGTGCCGTTGTCGTGCCGCACCCATGCACTGCTTTGTGTCAAACGCAGTGTTCACAGACCCATGATAGTTTTATCTTGAATGTCTTCTTGTTCATTTTCTTATTCTCTCATTCATTTCTCGCTTTTTTTTATTCTAGATACTTTTATATTCTTCTTTCATTTTACTCTTTTTTTTCCGTTTATTAATTACACATTTACATTTACTAATTTATATAAGCAGTTTAAATTTTGTTTTTTAAAATTAATTGTATCTATTGTTTATTTTATTATTACTTTTGATAACTGTATATATCTTTTAAAATTCTGCTTTATTAAATTTTCTTAGAATATAAAATGTCTTAGAACAAAAGATTAATATTTTGATAATATCAATCATTTTAAGCAAAAATTTTCGTATATGAATATGTGTTTTATTTCAAATAATTTTCAGGATTGAATATATAGTTGCAAAATTATTGTTAAAAAAGAGATACTTTTTCTAATAATTGATTGTTCAAGTAAAATATTTTTTGAAGTTTATAATAACATAAACGTATTTTTCTGTTCGGAACATAGTTTATATGAATATTTTTGCTTAAAATGACCGATATCATCAATAATATCATCTCGGAATATTAATCTCTTATCCAAACCAATATTAATATTTTTTCTCCTAGGACATCCTGTATAATCTCTTAAACGATTTATAAAAATAAAACATTAAAAAAATTTAATCAATCTAAAATTTATTTTATTTGCATAATTGTTTGTGATTTACATTACGATGCTCTATATAATGTATTTAGTTTTTTAAATTTAGATAGATAGCCACAACAGTGTTATTATTTATTGATTATTTTATATTTTGAAAAATATGTGCAATGTGAAAAAAGTATCAACTTTTTATATAACACACAGTGATAATATATTATGTAATAAATCTATGTCTTTATACTACGATATATATATATATATATAATATATATTACACATATATATACTATACATATATACTATACATATATATTGATATATATTGTAATGCAGGTAAAAATAGAGTTATATTGATCCATAAATAATTTATAATTTAAATGGTAGCGTAAAAGTAAAACTTTGGACACATTGTTTCACGTATTGAATGATTTGGCTCATAGTCTGGTTGGTTAATTGATGAATTTCTGTTACCAAACACTCTCTTACATCATTGATGTGTAGGATTACTGTTCTCACACTTTGTTGTGCCGTATCTTTAATTTTTGTTACTATTTCGAAAATGTTTCCTTTAACCTAAAAAAAAAAATATATTAAAATTCTTTTAAAAAGTTTTGAACAATTATAATTTAACACGTTATATGCTGATCACTTATGAACAACATTTGAACTTTCATTGCCGAATTAGTGATCGGCATTGATCGGTATTACTAAATTAAAAAATATATATAAAATTTGTGTATATATACAAAATAATGTTTGCAACTCTTAATAAAAATATAATTAATATTAATGAAGTTATTTCGAAAATAATAAATGTACTATAAATACATGAAAATTTTATATAATTTAAATATATTAAATAGTATTTAAGCGAAATGTGGATTTAATAGTAAAAATTTTACGACATTGTCGAAAAGACAAGCAAAGGTTACATATATATTTAATGTATTAATCAAAGTTTGTATAAACGTTTTTACGTATTAGAATGCAAGAGTATATTTTAACATTACCAAAAAGTTTTGTATTATTATAGAAATATTTATAAATTATTAAAAAGAATATTTAAAATTAATTGAAATACTTACATTATTGAGGCATTCAGTTATATTCGAATCGTGAATACAATTTAAAGCATCTTGAATATTTTTTGATACATTTTGCAGACTTTCGGTTACATCGATTTCTTTAATTTTAGAAGTTGAATTAGTTTTCATAAGGCATGTATTAAACATTTGCATTACTTGGTCGACAGCTTCTTGAATATTATTGTCCGCATTAGTGCATGGTGAAGATGTTGAAAGTTCTGTTTGGGGTGCAAGTCCTGTTAACTATATGAAATTTCAAAAATTAGCAATATACAATTTTAAAATATTGCCATTAAAAATTTTCTGTTGCCATGAAAAAATTTATTTTTTAAATAATACAATTGAGAATTAATTTTGTGCGTGCGCGCGCGCGCGCGCGTGTATGTGTATATACAGAAAGAATTTTTTCTTAGAATTTATTCTGAAAATATGACACTCGTGGGACAACATTGTATTTCGAAGAATTTTAATGCAAATCTTTCTCATTCATTAATAAAACTACAAAAGTATAAAATAAATTTGATCAATTTTACTGAAGTGCAAAAAATCTTTGAAATATTGTATTCTACTATATTTTCAGAGTAAATTTTAAAAGAAAATTCTCTCCGTGCAAGAATAATTCTACATAACATATTATACATATTTACACATATATTGTATATATTTTAAAATAAATGATCCAAAATATAAATTAATTAAAACTGTATTTAAAATACCAATAATTAAATGGATTTACTTTTTGTAGAAGAGATATAAATTTTTTGCTATTAATTTAATTACAATCATGTAATATGTTACAAAATTATGAGAGCGAACATACAATTATTTTTGTATTTTCATTGTTATTTAATGAATTCATTTGTAATATCTACATTAATCAACATTAATCACAGTTAAATTTTTTCATGTTATATATTTTTGCTTTTTTAATTTTTGATGTATTATAGACTAACCATTTAGAATTAATATAGATATATTAAACTCAAATTTTCTTGTATTAAATATTATTAAGTAAAGAATAAGTTTACTATAATATATTGTAATGAATTGTTAATTTAATTTGACAAAATAACTGATGAAATAATATTTTTGCTCTGTGATAAAGATTGAAATTAAAACTGCTTATTTTTAAATATAAAACAATATTAAAATTTGACTAATTTATACGATTTGTATAATATTTTTGTATAATATTTCCATATAATATTTATTTGTATAATATTTCCATATTTAGCTAGTCACATTGAAATTAAATCTTACTTTATCATAAGTTTCCTTTCCATTTTGGATTCCTTCTTTTCCCAATTCTTTTACGTTTTCAACTGTATTTGAAACAGTATTCAATAGAGGACCTAGTGGGTTAAGAAGTCCTGCCTCTGCTGTTTGAAAAATCTATAATTATATGAATAAATTCATAAAATCAATACGTAAAATATATATATATATATAATAAATGCATAATTATTTTAAATATTCGAAAAACAGAAGAATACTTTTACTTGCACACACACACACAATGCTACTTTATATATTTATATATAAATATTATAAATTATAAAATAGATATTAAATAAAATTTTTTAAGTTTTTATAATTCTTGTTAAATATTAAATTTTTACAATCTAAATAACACTGTTTTAGATTCAAGAATTAAAAAACTTACGCAAACAGCTACAATGATGCAATTTATAATTGTAATTTTTGTCATTGTTGTCCTAACTTTTGCGTATTACTTCTTAAGACTTCTGAAATAACACTCCTTTTTTCCACCTAAAACTCGCGTTTATATAAGATATTCACTTCCAACTTGTAAAAGATATCGTTGCGATATGCAAATTAGCTTGTCAAACTGCGAGTACTTACATCAATATGCAATTACTCTAATTAGCCAAAGTAAAAAATAGTAATAATGAACGAAATGTATTACTTAAAAGAAAATTTTATAATTTATTTTTATGATATATTACTACAAATCCATGTTCCGTCTAATTTTATTTTTTTTATGATTAGATATTTTTCATATATGAATATGTAACTGGAATTGTTAAAATTCTTTTTTCTGTATAATAAATGGGATATATAATTTTAAGAAAAAAACTTTAAAATACAATTTCTCATAAAAAATTATATTATAAATTATATATAAAATCTCATAAAAATATCTTACGCTTAATGATATTTTATCAAATAAGTATTATTTGCAATATTTTTATTATTTACAACACAATTATTGTAGATTCTATAATTACTAATAATAAGCTGTTATAAGACAGCACCATGTCTAAAATAGGGACATAAAACTTTTTACAAATGATAATAAGATATCTTTTTGTATTATCGTCTCATCTCCTGATTTAGACATATGTGTTGTCTGGGCTCTGGACTAAAGTATAATTATTTTGCTAATGTTATGAAGATTGATTGGAAATGGAAACTTACATGTTGAAAAAAATTGTTCACCTATTAAATTAAAATATTGATAAAAGAATTCTAAATATTTCAAAAGATTGATTATGAATTTTAAAATAGTATTGCTTAAAAATTGGATACAAATTGAAAGAATTTTTTGAGAAATTATTTTCTCTCTCTTTACATCAGAATTCTTAATTTCTTTTCTTGGTAACATATTTCTACAAATTTAAACAATTTATTTTTTATTAACTAAACATTTTTAATTTTATGCAATAAACTTTAGTGAGAGAAATTGAGTATAATATGAATATATATCATAACAGTTCTTTGCGTTATTTGAAATTGTATTATATTTTATGATTTGCAAGAATTTGAGACTCTAGCATGCATGATGCGATCAGTATATATTCTTGATAACACTACAAAATTCTTTCCTGGAACATATGCATATAAATGCTCCGTTTTAACCTTTACAGCGATAAAGCTAATTATGTGTAAATTTTTCATAATATCAACAAAATTGGCAATTTCAGTTCAAAGTAGTGTACATTTCTATTGATTTATATATATATATATATATACACAATGAGTACTATTCCGTTTTATTATATATAATACTATAAAGTATATATCCATTCCTTTAATCTTATACTTTCGCTCTTTGTTTCATCATTTTACTTTCCTCTTGTATTCTATTGTTTTTTGTAATATTTGTCATTTAAGTTAATTATCTTTATTTATTAATCACATCTTTAGTTATTAAGTTTGTTTTTAAAAATTGTAGTTTTTTAATATCAAAAGGTATGGTTTATAAGTATGTATTTTCTAACATACTTCAAAATTTTAAATAAATAATGCAAGGATTATAAATACGTATTAAATAAATTTTATTTCTATTGACAATTGAATATGGGAGAATGACAGGCAATTGTAGAGCGATTGCATATTGTAACATGCGCGCACGGTAAGACATACACATATCCTTGAATTGTTGCTAATATAACATTGATATTCACGATTGGTATACTGTAGATGTATGCAGTTGCTTATTTTAATATAAAAAGTCTCCTTTGTAAAATAAATTATTATAATTTTTTATGAGTAATTGAATTTGCCAATCTTAAAGTGTGTGAATATACTGTAATTAAATTATCTTAATGTAATGTAAATATAAATTTTATGATCATTTTTTGTATTTATATATTTAGTGAAATCTACTCATTTATTCTCAAGACATTTTTTGATCAAAGTTTCGAAGATCTGCCGTTTGAACTATAGTAAATTTGACTGAATTTCGCATTTGTCCAATTTTTGCAGACTTAACGAATTGAAAAGATTTTGAAGTCGAAGCTGGTAATTTTATGATATAATTTATTGTTGAAGATCTATAATAAATCATAAATTTTTATTAAAAATCTAGAATTTTTCTAAAACTACTTAACAAGTAAATTTATTATAATATTAACTTTATTTAATAATAAATCGAGATGACTTTTTTCTTAAAGAAAATGAATAGATTTTGATATGTTCAATTATTTGGCTAATAGAGTTGCATAGGAATCTCTCTCTCTCTCTCTCTCTCTCTCTCTCTAAAACAAAACGTATTATTAAGATTAGCATACTGCCGATGAAAATGCGAGCACGTTGATTACCGTTAGAACCAGCCTCACGAGACATATGCATGTGTAAGATACACATATGCATGCACACGCATGTATCTGCGCTCGTACGTACAAATTCACCCCTATAAAATATTCCCATCGGAGTGGCGCACGGGGTGTCGTGGGAACGGTCTCGCTCGATATAAAATGCCACGCACATTTTTATGGGACGTGTATACGTTCAAGTAGCTCGGGGATTCCTTTGTAACGAATCAACGACGAGTCTTCTCGCCTGGGAGTCGCGCATCGAGTCAATCCAATGAGAATATATTTTTCTTCCCTCCTCCAAAAAAGAGTATCATGACAGATACAATTCCAGTTTACGGAGCGTGTACGCGCTCGTCAGCCAGATAATTATCAAAAATTCCAGTATAATACATAATAACTCAAAACCGTCTGATTTTTTCTATTTTACAAAGTGATACATTATTATTGTTATAGTACAATAAGTAATGATATCAAAACCTTATTTATTATATAAAGCATTGTCATTCAACGATAATTTATTAAATTACTTTGTACACATTTGGACATCACAAAAGCATTCTCTAATTAAATTCTTTTTCCGGCAATTAGTCGAATAAAATAACTATAAATCTAACATTTATATATTACGCGTGCACTACGTATTATATTAGCATTTCGTATTCGAAATTTTTACTAATGTATTATGTATTAATTTATAGATAATTTATTTTAATTAGTTCCAATTTTAGCTTTATTTATTCAATTTTTTTATTTAAATAATAAACGTTTATTATCATAATAAATTTAATTTTTTTTAATGTTTACCGATAATATTAACAAATTACTATGTAACTTATATAATTTATATAACTTATATAACTTATTGTATAACTTATGACTTATATTTATATGCATATACATATAAGTTCACATATAAAAAAATTGCTTTTTTTATTAGCTGCAAACATTTTTTTTAAAGAAGTTCTAAATATATTATTATAGATTTGAGGCGTCAAGTGTCGTTCGCGGTGCGATTGTCTCGTGATCTATAGATCCGGATTCAGTCTCATCTGTGCCCATATGCGATTTTTCGCGTTTAACTCTCTTAAGAAAAAGTGTTTTAACATATTAAATAGTTAATCAGTATATTGAAACATTTTTTTTTAAGGAAAGGAACCGAAAATGACTCCAGGTGATGATTAAGAGACCTTTAATCACTAGCGCCATTCAGATTCGGTGTTAAATTGTAAATTCCGTATATATATCAGTGGATATATATATATATATATATATATATATATATATATACACACACATATATATATATATATAGTAAAAAATAAAATGTTAATTTAACTAAAAACCGTATAATGGACTTCCTAAGCATGCAAAAATGTTAAAATTAATATAATAATGTTAGACATTTTTGTATGTCTCAGAAAGTCCACTATATGTCTTTAAGTTAAAATTAACATTTAATTTTATACAGTGTATTAATAATAATATCGTAATATACAATAATTATTCTTTTATATATTTACTGTACAATTTTTTTTATTTTTTAGGAAGGAGCGTAAACTACTGGAGTAAACTATAAAATTTTCGGTAAGTTATTAGATTTGTATTTTTATTTCATCTCATATTTTGAAAATTATATTAGATTCTGTTATTATTTTTCAATTTTTACTCCTATGTTTCTCTGTAAGGATGTAAATACTGAATAAAATAGTGATAGAATAGACAGTAAAATCTGCACATCTGCTCGTTCATTCTGATTCATTTCCTGTACATTCGAATATCGATGACATATGCTCTTCATGCAAAATATACGAAATAGGATCATAAGTCATAGAGATGTAAGTTAAATGCAAAAATAATGCAACGTTGTATAATATCTCGTGCTTATGAATTGCAAGTTTATGTATATTTCATATGTATATAATTTCTTATAAAGATTATATAGAATCATATACAAAATATACAAATCTATATGGAACATGCAAATATAAAAGTAAATATGATATAAATCTAAACGCACGACAAATTATTTATTAAAGTTTATTTATTTCTTTTTAAACTTTATTTGAAAATAATTATATTTAAATATAACTTTTTTTTACATTTAAATTTCTCTACATTAGTCTTGAGATAATTCATATTAAAATAATTCATATTAAAATTTGTGTGTTTTATCACACAAATTAAATTATTTTAATTAAGTATTATTTTAATGAATTAAGTATGTTATATTAAAGTATGATGTATGAAAAAAATATTTTTATAATAAGTGATGATTCTGTATTTGTTTAATTTACATTAAGAAGGAATCAATTAAAAATTTATTTAAAGCTTTTTAATATATCGATTTTATTACTAAAACATTACTAAAATATATTCTAAAAGAAAATACATTTCGGAAATTACATGATAAATTTATTCTATTTACATTAAAGACATTAATTTATTTATATACTTTCAGATAATAAAATTTTTTTCTGAAACTAAGAAACATTATAATAAACGTTATATCATAATAGCGAATGCAAAACACATGAAATAAATACTTATATTTAAAATTATATATAAGTATTTATTTCATGTGTCTTTAAATTATATAAGTTATATAAATTTTATAAGTTATATAATAATTTATTAATGTTATCGGTAAGCATGAAAAAAAATTAAATTTATTATGATAATAAACAGTAATTTATAATAAACAGTA